TTAAAGCCCATCAGGATCATGAATCATCCCCCCTCTGCTCCTCTAATCTGGGCTTTACCGAGCTGGATTTAAAACTGAGATCTGATCTGGATTACTCTGCTCCTGGTTCTGATCGGGTCACATCTGACCCGGTCTGAACTCTGGTCCTCCTGGTCCTCCTGGTCCTCCTGGTCCTTGGTTTTGGGGAGTTCTGCTGTCGCCATGCCGACGTCCCGGCCTGGTTCGGAGCCGGTGGAGTTCTGGGTGGACGGGTCGAGGCGGGACGGGGCGGTGGAGGAGTTCTACAACCTGAGCTCCGAGCTGGGCAGGTCTGGACCACATCCTAAAGGGGGCACAGGGGTAAAAACAGTGGGCGGAGCCTAACTGGTGTCAGAAAGAGGCAGTTCTGTGGTAGCTAGTAGCTTAGCATCGGCCAACAGTGACAAACACTGAACGCAGCAAAATAACTGACGATCATATTTATAATATTTATCATATTTATCATATTTATCATATTTATAATATTTATCATATTTATAATATTTATAATATTTATCATATTTATAATATTTATAATATTTATCATATTTATAATATTTATAATATTTATATTTATAATATTTATCATATTTATAATATTTATAATATTTATCATATTTATAATATTTATAATATTTATCATATTTATAATATTTATAATATTTATATTTATAATATTTATCATATTTATAATATTTATAATATTTATCATATTTATAATATTTATAATATTTATCATATTTATCATATTTATAATATTTATCATATTTATCATATTTATAATATTTATAATATTTATCATATTTATCATATTTATAATATTTATCATATTTATCATATTTATAATATTTATCATATTTATAATATTTATCATATTTATCATATTTATCATATTTATAATATTTATAATATTTATCATATTTATAATATTTATAATATTTATCATATTTATAATATTTATAATATTTATAAAATTTATCATATTTATAATATTTATAATATTTATCATATTTATAATATTTATATTTATAATATTTATCATATTTATCATATTTATAATATTTATCATATTTATCATATTTATAATATTTATCATATTTATCATATTTATAATATTTATAATATTTATAAAATTTTTCATATTTATAATATTTATCATATTTATAATATTTATAAAATTTATCATATTTATCATATTTATCATATTTATCATATTTATAATATTTATCATATTTATAATATTTATCATATTTATAATATTTATAAAATTTATAAAATTTATCATATTTATAATATTTATAATATTTATATTTATAATATTTATAATATTTATATTTATCATATTTATCATATTTATAATATTTATCATATTTATCATATTTATAATATTTATAATATTTATAAAATTTATAATATTTATCATATTTATAATATTTATCATATTTATAAAATTTATCATATTTATCATATTTATAATATTTATCATATTTATATTATTTATCATATTTATCATATTTATAAAATTTATCATATTTATAATATTTATAATATTTATAATATTTATATTTATAATATTTATAATATTTATAATATTTATATTTATCATATTTATCATATTTATAATATTTATCATATTTATCATATTTATAATATTTATCATATTTATCATATTTATAAAATTTATCATATTTATAATATTTATAATATTTATATTTATCATATTTATCATATTTATAATATTTATCATATTTATAATATTTATCATATTTATAATATTTATAAAATTTATAAAATTTATAATATTTATCATATTTATAACATTTATCATATTTATCATATTTATAATATTTATAATATTTATCATATTTATAATATTTATCATATTTATCATATTTATAATATTTATAATATTTATAATATTTATAATATTTATCATATTTATCATATTTATAATATTTATCATATTTATCATATTTATAATATTTATCATATTTATAATATTTATAATATTTATATTTATAATATTTATAATATTTATAATAACGTTTCTATCTGCAGTGTTCCTGTAGTTTATTTAGACCGTTAGCTCCATGCTAATAACTAGCTCACCGTTTACAAATCAGCCATCAGCCAACACCAGACCCACAATGCAACACCAGACCCACAATGCAACACCAGACCCACAATGCAACACCAGACCCACAATGCAACGCCAAGATACAGCCGGACAACCCCAGTTAGCTTAGCTACAGTTAGCTGCTGGATGCCCCTCCCTCACATCACTCTCAGCTAGCAGAAAGCTATCGTTAGCTTTGTGCATCATTAATAGTCAGAATACAGAAGTTAGCCGGGGAAGCTAACGTTAGCCAACCATAAACACTCGATAACAAGCTAACGTTACGATTAATCTGTTAATATCTCTGCAGCACCTTTGTTTACCTGGAGATAGCAGGAGAACGGGGTCACACGCCCAGCAGTGCAGGGGCATCTGCGTTACATGATGTAATACGGAACCGCCGTCGCCATCTTTCTTTTTGACAAACTCGTTCGACCTAGCAACGGTAACTAAGGGGGCGGGACTTTTTCTTAATGGAAGAACTGAAATTCACTTCCTGAGGATCAAAATCCTGTTTTTAAGTTTTCTAATCTAATAAGTGATTTTAACTCCAAAACATTACTTTACTCAGTTTTTGTGAATTCAAAAAGTTTCTTGGTTTCGATTTTACGAGTAATTTTAAGTGACGCTAACTTAGTTCTGTAAGTTTTCACAGTGCAAATAAAAATGACTAAATTAAACCCAGAATGTTTTTTATTTTACGAAATGTAGTTAATTCTTTGAGTTGCTGTCCATCCACGTGTACGATGCTAACGGGAGCTGCTAACAGCTAACTGAGCTACAGTTCAGGGCTATATGCTGCTGTTAGCATGTTAGCATATATCAGTTCCACTTTAACTCTAATGAAGGAGAAGAAGTCAGGAGCTCATTGGGTGTAATGAGGAAACCACTGACCTGAGATCAGCTGATGACCTGAACCAGGAAATGAAGGAAAGGTTTTCATTTTTTTATATAATTGATTACAAATCAACTTGTTCCACACTCTAAAAATGTATAATAATATAAATTAAACTTCTAATGATTTCGGTTACGTTGCAAACAGTATTTTGATGATTTGTGTTGACACAACGTGGAAAAATATATATTTATGAGAAGCCTCATCATCTTCCAACCTCGTGTTTATGCTACCAGTTATTGGTGATTAAAAATACTTCTTATGTAGAAGAAGAACATAACTTCATTAGACGTTGCAGAAACTCAGAAACACTGTAAATAATATTCCAGCTGCCAGAAAACAGTAAAATAACAGAAACTAATGACTCATAAAAATACAGCAATGTTCTATAATAATAAATATATATATAATAATTATACACTTTTTAGATTTAATGTGACATAAACTCTTGTGTATTTTAATGTTTAAATAAAGATAATTAAAGACATAAATACAGGTGAACTCTGTTGTTATTGGATTTGAGTCAGTTGTTGAGAACAGATACTGCAGTATATATACAGCACTGAATCATCACGCAGTAATAATAATAATAATAATAATAATAATAATAATAATAATAATAAACAGACTTTATGTTCTGGACTTTTCTCTCTGTTGTTAAAATGAAATCATTCACAGTTGATCGGTGTGTCCAATAATCTAATAAACTTTATTAGTACAGTTCAGATGATTGACAGACGATAATGAGACAGAAATAATATTTAAACAATAAATCCATTACAGGTAAAACAATAATAAATAAAATCAATAAAAAGGATAAAAAATAAAATATTAAAAATAAGGAAATAAAAGTTTCAGTCTCTTTAAAAAGTGTTTTTGTATTGATTATGAAAAAAGATCAATGAATTAGATTTCACAGGTGTACCTCGTACAGTGTGACATCACCAAAACTGTCCAATCAGTGACTTCTTGTTTACAACAACAACAACAACAACAGTGATTTTGTTGCTGAAGCTTTACTCAGTGTTTGTTTACAGTTTGTGTATTTCTGTGTGTGTTTAAACACAGTGTGTACTTGAGTGGTGTTGTCGTTATTTCAGTAAACAACAACAACAACAACAACAACAACAACACTACCAGCTCCGGGGAAACAGTGCGAAGATGTCAGCAGTGAATTCAGAAATGTGTGTGCAGGTCGCCACCAGCTCCATTACCAGGTGTCCTGTTGCCATGGAGACCAGCCAGGACTGTGTGTGTGCGGGGGGGGGGATCTGTTATTCTGCTGGGACAGATGGAGGAAACACACACACACAAACACACACACACACACACACACACACACACACACACACACACACACACACACTGACACAAACACACACACAAACACACACACACAACTGACACAAACACAGACACACAACACACACACAAAACACACTGACACAAACACACACACACACACACACACACAAACACACTGACACAAACACACACACACACACAAACACACACACACACACACAACACACACACAAACACACTGACACAAACACACACACACACACACACACAAACACACTGACACAAACACACACACACACACACACACACACAAACACACTGACACAAACACACACACACACACACACACACACACACAAACACACTGACACAAACACACACACACACACACACACACACACACACACACACACACACACACACACACTCACAGTGTATTTTCACAGAAGAAGGAAACTTGCTGTTCGTGTGAGATTTGTTAGTTCGACTGTCGACATCAAAACTCATTTTCACCTTTTACTAACTACATCAAAGTCACATGACTTCAGTGTCACCACCACTAAACCTCCAACGTGTAATTAAGATCTCATGTAGACACGTAAAGGCTGAGCAGCTGTTTACTGATGTTTATTGTCTCTAACTGTGGTTGCTGCTCTGTGTTTTCTTCCAGAGGAGCGACGTCCATCGTGTATCGCTGTGAGGAGAAACAGACTCAGAAACCCTTCGCCCTCAAAGTCCTCAAGAAAACGGTCAGTGTTGGGCCATTAAGGAGGACCAGAGGTCAGAGGTCAGGATGAGGGTCCCTGTTTGGAAAGAAAACGTTGTAATTAAAATGCACCAGTGTAACACATTAATGACTCATAATGACTCTAATTAAGTTTGAAATCTTTCCAACATGTTCAGTGTCTTTAAAAACTCTCAGGAACACAAACATTTGCTTCACTCACGCGAGCTGTGTTCATGAGGAGAACATGTCAACAGTGTTGGGCAAGTTACTTTTAAAAAGTAATTAGTTACAGTAACTAGTTTCTTCTTCCAAAAAGTAACTAAATTAGTTACTCAGTTACAAATTATAAAAGTAACTAGTTACTTCAGAAAGTAACTATTGCGTTACTTTCAAGTCAATTTTTAAATGCTGCAATGTGACCCCACCTCCACCCCTCTTTAACTGAACTTAAAATACATGTTCAATTATTTATGATAAATCTGAATATTATAATGAGATGGACTCTTACTACAATCCATTATTAACAGAAACAATGGACACAAATCTAAACTATTTTAATGTTGGGACAAAGTGAGACTAGCCTCCAATCAAATGCCATGTATGTAGATATTATGTTCATATAGTGGATCCATACAATAACACAATAGATGTTTTGGAACTTTTGATATTTATTGCCCCTCAACAGGCCACAACTGGGCAAAATTCAATTATGTTTGTTAAGCACTATACCAAAAATAAATAACAAATATATACACTCTTTATAGCGCAAATAAAACAAAAAAAACTTCAGACAATTGGTAGATATACTGTACTTCAAGTAACAGTGTAACAATATGAGGTGCTTTCAATCTAACATAATAATAATAATAATAATAATAGCATAATGTGCATTTCACCATTACATTGGTTCCTTTCATTCTTGGAGGGAACAGTAATGACTATACTTCCATTTAGAGAAGGCTACTTTTGGATTATTGGAGCTCGCCATACCTGTCTCTCGCTGACTGACTCTTGTGTTGTTCGTTGTGTGTCCGACTCTGCGTGCTTTCGAACATCGTCCAACTCTACCTCTGATTGGCTGCCCATGACTCAACCTCAGCCAGTCGTCAGCATTTATGCGTTTGTCTCGTGCACTGCCCACTAACCGAAGAACAGTAAAAAAAGTCTTTGCCTCTCGGCTCAGAGATCTAGTTGGTCTGATGAAACAAACAGCTTCAATTATAGTTTCTGGCAGTAACGGTAACGGCCTTATTCAGATGGGAAGAGTAATCGATTAGATTACTCGTTACTGAAAAAGTAACGCCGTTATAAATAAATAATGACTGCATGTGAACATGTGAACAACCTCCAGAGGGGAAGTTTTCTGCCGAGTTCACGTGTGCACGACTTCCCTTTGAGGCAGCAATAGGTGCTGAAAACATTTAGCCTAGCTTAGCACAAAGACTGCAAGCAGGGGGAAACTGTTAGCCAAGCTTCAAAAAGAGAAACTCTGTCTGATTTATATATTGTGCGTTAGCTAACATGCTAATCACCACTGGGTGTGGTTTTATAGAGCCAGGGGTCAAGATTCAGAAGCTAACTCTAAGCTAACAGGAAATATAAGCTTGCTAACTCTAAGCTAACAGGACGTCCGTGGTTTATGTTGCACGTTGTTACCTTCTATTGATTCCAGCATCATGTTAGACCTACAGGATGTAAATACATATTCCTGAATACAGTCGGCCCATATTCACTGTTATAATATTAAAAGAAGGATTATGAAAAAGAAAAGTGACACCTTTGATGGAGCTAGGCTAGCAGTTTCACCCAGTTTCAGTCCTAGTGCTAAGCTAGGCTAACTTTATGGTGGACCTACAGTCTCTCTGTACTGCACATGAGAGGAAACTGATCAATAACTGGATATTCTCAGCTGGTTGGTTAATGCGAACTGTGGAGGACATTTTGTGTTCATTGTCAGTTTGAATCAGATTTTGTTTCTTCTGTCGCAGATCGACAAGAAAATAGTTCGCACTGAAATTGGCGTCCTGCTGCGTCTTTCCCACCCGAACATTGTAAGTACGTCACTGATGATTTATTTCAGAATGATTCAGTGTGAAATCGATGGGATTCTTTGATGTGTATGTCTGGTTTATATACGTTTGTAATATTGTGTTTCTGTAGTGTTTGTCTGCTCTGTATGTACAGGTTCCCTCTACCAAGACGCTAACGCTAAGCTAACAGGGCCAAATGCTAACTCTAAGCTAACAGGACCGAGACTTTAGACGGATTTAGATATAAAGAATACGCAAAAATTATATTTTATACTGTGAAAAAAGTTAAAATATCAACGTCAGTTCAAACCGACAATGACAAAATGTAGATCATGAACGACATATTTTTATACCTGCTGCAGCCACATTAGACCACCTTTACATTTCACTGCCCCTGCTGTAATTAAAATATACTGAGTTATATTTAGTTCAATTTCAATTCAATTTTATTTGTATAGCGCCAATTCATAACAGTTATCTCAGGACACTTTTCAAATAGAGCAGGTCTAGACCGAACTCTTTATAACATTATTTACAGAGACCCAACAGTACCACCATGAGCAAGACCTTGGAGACAAGGGCAAGGAAACACTGCCTGTTAAAAGGCAGAAACCTAGGACAGATCCTCCGGCTCTAGGTGGGTGGTCGTCTGTCTCGACCAGTTGGGGGGAGAGAGAGACAGACAGACAGACAGACAGACAGACAGGTGCACAGCAACAACAGTAGCAAAAACTACACTAATAGTAGTGACTGATGATGATGAACATGACAACAGCAACGTCTAATGTTTTCACTCCTTCACCTTAGATCCAGCTGAAAGAGATCTTTGAGACAGACACTGACATCGCTCTGGTGCTGGAGCTGGTGACAGGAGGAGAACTGTTCGACAGGTCTGTTATATACACTGTATACATTATATACACTATACACTATATACATTATATACACTGTATGCATTATATACACTATACACTATATACATTATATACACTGTATGCATTATATACACTATACACTATATACATTATATACACTATACATTATATACATTATATACACTATACATTATATACACTGTATACATTATATACATTATATACACTATATACATTATACACACTAAATACACTATATACATTATATACACTGTATACACTATACATTATATACATTATATACACACTGTATGCATTATATACATTATATACACTATATACATTAGATACATTATATACACTATATACATTATATACACTATATACATTATATACATTATATACACTATAAACGATATATTATATACACTGTATACACTATACATTATATACATTATATTAAACTTTATACATTATATTAAACTTTATACATTATATACACTATATATACTATATACACTATACAACATTAAACATATGGAAGCTTTAATACATAAAACATAAATTATGTTTTCCATGTGGCTTTATTTGGATGTAAATGTTTACAGGCGTCATGTGACTCGTTGTAATGTTTTTATGTTGTTTCCAGGATCGTGGAGCGCGGTTATTACAGTGAGAGAGACGCTGCTCACGTCATCAAACAGATCCTGGAGGCTGTGGCGGTAAGACTGCTGCCTTCAGTGTCTGTTCTCACTGTCAGGAAAATCCATCACTGTCTGAGTTCCTGGTTCTCGTCACAGACTAGATCATCCCTCTGTTCATTAGATTACTGGTTCCTCTGTCTCTGCTCAGTCTGCAGCTGCAATCACTCAACCACAGATCATAAAGCAGCTGTTCTCAGATTCTGTTTAAACCAACTGTGAACCTATCGTGATGTAACTTTTCACTTTTCGTGACTAATTTTGCCCGCTGCCATGGGGGTTAGACAGAGCCAGTGGAGGTGACATACTGCGAGTTGAGCTGCTCTCATTGGCTGCTCTTGGTTTAAAAGGCTGCAATATAAACTGACCCCATTCACTCTAATGGAGAATGAGCTCAGTAAACAGTTTCCTGATGAGTTTCTGGTTTCAGTCTCTAGTTTTAGTCTTCTTCCATACAGCATGATGTTCATTTAGTAACCGATGGTCCCATTTAGAGTAAAACAGACCATAAAGCAGGGTATGCTTTAGGGCGGGGCTACCTTGTGATTGACAGCTCATTCTCAGTGAGTCTGTCCAGCTCAGTGCTGATCAGATATAGATCCATATTCTGTTGTTGTTGTTGTTATTTCTCTCCTCAAATCTGTTCACAAACACATTTTACTGTTTGGTTGCTGCAGTTGGTTGCTGTAGTTAGTTGTGCAGTTGGTTGCTGTAGTTAGTTGTTGTAGTTGGTTGCTGTAGTTAGTTGCTGCAGTTGGTTGCTGCAGTTGGTTGCTGTAGTTGGTTCCTGTAGTTGGTTCCTGTAGTTGGTTGCTGTAGTTGGTTCCTGCAGTTGGTTGCTGCAGTTGGTTGCTGTAGTTGGTTCCTGTAGTTGGTTGCTGTAGTTGGTTCCTGAAGTTGGTTGCTGTAGTTGGTTCCTGTAGTTGGTTGCTGTAGTTGGTTCCTGAAGTTGGTTGCTGTAGTTGGTGTAGTTGGTTCTGTAGTTGGTTCCGCTGCAGTTGGTTGCTGTAGTTGGTTCCTGTAGTTGGTTGCTGTAGTTGGTTCCTGAAGTTGGTTGCTGTAGTTGGTTCCTGTAGTTGGTTGCTGTAGTTGGTTCCTGAAGTTGGTTGCTGTAGTTGGTTCCTGTAGTTGGTTGCTGTAGTTGGTTCCTGAAGTTGGTTGCTGCAGTTGGTTGCTGTAGTTGGTTCCTGAAGTTGGTTGCTGCAGTTGGTTGCTGTAGTTGGTTCCTGAAGTTGGGTTCCTGAAGTTGGCTGTAGTTGGTTCCTGTAGTTGGTTGCTGTAGTTGGTTCCTGAAGTTGGTTGCTGTAGTTGGTTCCTGTAGTTGGTTGCTGTAGTTGGTTCCTGAAGTTGGTTGCTGCAGTTGGTTGCTGTAGTACTAGCGGCTGCCGTTCAGAAGCAGATTGTGTTTGGTGCTGTGGGAGTTCTTCCTCCTCAAGCTGATGATTCACTGCAAATTGAATCAAACGTGAAAGTGGCACAAAATCATATTCAAATGTCAACATGTGAACACCACGAGGCGTTCACTGACGTGCTTACACAACACTGCACCTTTCACAGCAACAAGGAGGTTGTTTGGGGCCAACATGGCTGAATGTGCAGAGACAGGAAACAAAGTGTAATTGAGTAAAGAAGTCAGTGATGATCATAACGTCTAATTATTGTCAGAATGACTCAAAATAATCTCCTGCACAAAAAGACCTACACAGGGCAAACTGCTCTCTTTGGAGTAGGTCTTTTATTTTGAAAATTCATTGTTGCACACTGGGTTCAGCTGGGTTCAATGGGGGATCAGGTCCAGAAGTTTGGACCCAGGAAGACTTAGTTCCTGTAGTTGCTGTAGTCAGTTGCTGTAGTCAGTTGCAGGTGTTGCTGCAGCAGCGTTGCTGCACACGGCGGCAGCGTGCAGCAGCTGCAGGTCTCTTATGTAACAGCAGCTTCCATCCTGCTGCTGAACAGATTAAAACCAGAGAGGATTAATACACACACACACACACAGCTGACCTACATCCAGCTCACAGGGAAACATACGCCTGTGTATGTTTGTGTATATGTGTTTATATGTGTGTGTGTTAGGATTACTGTACAGTTGTATTTGTTGTATCAGATGGGTGTATAGTGTTAATCTGCAGCGTAGAAACATCCTGCAGTCCCTGAACACACCAACATCTACCAGTTTCTCAGACTGGAGGTTGTGACCTCACCAGGTAGATGTTATTCTCATGTAGATGGAAATGCAGTAGAGAGCAGTAAATAAACACAGTAGAGAGCAGTTAATAAACACAGTAGATTGCATTGAATAGAGGAAGTAGAGTTCAGTAAATAAACACAGTAGATTGCAGTAAATAAACGCAGTAGAGTGCATTAAATAAACGCAGTAGAGTTCAGTAAATAAACACAGTAGAGTGCAGTAAATAAACACGGTAGATTGCAGTAAAGAAACGCAGTAGAGTGTAGTAAATAAACACAGTAGAGTTCAGTAAATAAACACAGTAGAGAGCAGTAAATAAACACAGTAGATTGCAGTGAATAGAGGCAGTAGAGTTCAGTAAATAAACACAGTAGATTGCAGTAAATAAATGCAGTAGAGTGCAGTAAATAAACGCAGTAGACTTCAGTAAATAAACACGGTAGATTGCAGTAAAGAAACGGAGTAGAGTGTAGTAAATAAACACAGTAGAGTTCAGTAAATAAACACATTAGAGAGCAGTAAATAAACACAGTAGATTGCAGTAAATAAACGCAGTAGAGTTCAGTAAATAAACGCAGTAGAGAGCAGTAAATAAACACAGTAGATTGCTGTAAATAAATGCAGTAGAGTGTAGTAAATAAATACAGTAGACTTCAGTAAATAAACACAGTAGAGTGCAGTAAATAAATGCAGTAGAGAGCAGTAAATAAATGCAGTAGACTTCAGTTAATAAACACGGTAGATTGCAGTAAATAAATGCAGTAGAGTGCAGTAAATAAACGCAGTAGACTTCAGTAAATAAACATGGTAGATTGCAGTAAAGAAACGGAGTAGAGTGTAGTAAATAAACACAGTAGAGTTCAGTAAATAAACACAGTAGAGAGCAGTAAATAAACACAGTAGATTGCAGTAAATAAACGCAGTAGAGTTCAGTAAATAAACGCAGTAGAGAGCAGTAAATAAACACAGTAGATTGCAGTAAATAAACGCAGTAGAGTGCAGTAAATAAATGCAGTACACTTCAGTAAATAAACACAGTAGAGTGCAGTAAATAAATGCAGTAGAGAGCAGTAAATAAACGCAGTAGAGAGCAGTAAATAAACGCAGTAGAGTTCAGTAAATAAACACGGTAGAGAGCAGTAAATAAACACAGTAGAGTGCAGTAAATAAAATAGCAGTACACTTCAGTAAATAAACACAGTAGAGTGCAGTAAATAAATGCAGTAAAGAGCAGTAAATAAACGCAGTAGAGAGCAGTAAATAAACGCAGAGAGTTCAGTAAAAAAACGGTAGATTGCAGTAAATAAACGCAGTAGAGTTCAGTAAATAAACACGGTAGATTGCAGTAAATAAACACAGTAGAGTGCAGTAAATAAATGCAGTAGAGAGTAGTAAATAAACACAGTAGAGCGCAGCTAATAAACGCAGTAGAGTGTAGTAAATAAATGCAGTAGAGAGCAGTAAATAAACACAGTAGATTGCAGTAAATAAACGCAGTAGAGTTCAGTAAATAAACGCAGTAGAGAGCAGTAAATAAACACAGTAGATTGCAGTAAATAAACGCAGTAGAGTGCAGTAAATAAATGCAGTAGACTTCAGTAAATAAACACGGTAGATTGCAGTAAATAAACACAGTAGAGTGCAGTAAATAAATGCAGTAGAGAGCAGTAAATAAACGCAGTAGAGCGCAGCTAATAAACGCAGTAGAGAGTAGTAAATAAACACAGTAGAGAGCAGTAAATAAACGCAGTAGATTGCGGTAAATAAATGCAGTAGAGAGCAGTAAATAAACACAGTAGAGAGCAGTAAATAAATGCAGTAAAGTGCAGTAAATAAACGCAGTAGAGTTCAGTAAATAAACACAGTAGATTGCAGTAAAGAAACGCAGTAGTGTAGTAAATAAAGACCGCAGATTTCAGTAAATAAACGCAGTAGAGAGCAGTAAATAAATGCAGTAGAGTTCAGTAAATAAACTCAGTAGAGGGCAGTAAATAAACGAAGTAGAGCACAGTAAATAAACGCAGTAGAGAGCAGTAAATAAATACAGTAGAGAGCAGTAAATAAACACAGTAGAGTGCAGTAAATAAACACAGTAGAGTGCAGTAAATAAACGCAGAAGGGTGCAGTAAATAATTGCAGTAGAGAGCAGTAAATAATTGCAGTAGAGAGCAGTAAATAAACAGTAGAGTGCAGTAAATAAACACAGTAGAGTGCAGTAAATAAACGCAGAAGGGTGCAGTAAATAAACGCAGTAAGAGCAGTAAATAATTGCAGTAGAGAGCAGTAAATAACAGTAGAGGCAGTAAATAAACGCAGAAGGGTGCAGTAAATAAACGCAGTAGAGAGCAGTAAATAAACGCAGTAGAGTTCAGTAAATTAACACAGTAGAGAGCAGTATATAAACACATTGCAGTAAATAAACGCAGTAGAGTGTAGTAAATAAACACAGTAGAGTTCAGTAAATAAACACAGTAGAGAGCAGTAAATAAACACAGTAGATTGCAGTAAATAAACGCAGTAGAGTGCAGTAAATAAATGCAGTAGAGAGCAGTAAATAAACACAGTAGAGTGCAGTAAATAAACACAGTAGAGTGCAGTAAATAAACGCAGAAGGGTGCAGTAAATAAACGCAGTAGAGAGCAGTAAATAAACACAGTAGAGAGCAGTAAAGAAATACAGTAGAGTGCAGTAAATAAACACAGTAGAGTTCAGTAAATAAACACAGTAGAGAGCAGTAAAGAAACGCAGTAGAGAGCAGTAAGTCCCCCATCGTTGCTGTTGTCATGTTCATCATCATCAGTCACTACTGTTAGTGTAGTTGTTGCTACTGTTGTTGCTGTGCACCTGTCTGTCTGTCTGTCTGTCTCTCTCTCTCTCTGTCCCTCTCTCTCTCTCTCTCTCTCTCACCCCAACTGGTCGAGACAGACGACCACCCACCTAGAGCCGGAGGATCTGTCCTAGGTTTCTGCCTTTTAACAGGCAGTTTTTCCTTGCCCTTGTCTCCAAGGTCTTGCTCATGGTGGTACTGTTGGGTCTCTGTAAATAATGTTATAAAGAGTTCGGTCTAGACCTGCTCTATTTGAAAAGTGTCCTGAGATAACTTCTGTTATGAATTGACGCTATACAAATAAAATTGAATTGAATTGAATTGATAGACTGATTAATCGGGCCGATTATTTAGCATTTTGAGGTAATCAGTATCAGCCGATGTCAGCGCTGACAGGGCCGATGCTGATATCGGCATTATATATCAGCCGACGCCAGCTCTGCTCTCTAAATATCGCCATCGGCCAGTGAAAGACCTGTATTGGTCGACCACTGGTAGAAAGACTTGCTGAGTGATTTATCTGTTATCTGTTGTTCGCGCTCTCTGATCTGAGGGGAGGAAGTGAGTGTTGAGGGAGCACCAGGGGATGCTGGGAGCTGGAGGAAAAGGCCATCTGTCAGTTCAGTCCTGCCAGATCATCCACAGACCTATCCAACACTTTCCTGTTGTGGCTGTAATGACCACTGCGGCCTGTAAGGGGCGCTACAGGCAGTTCACACTGTTAATCAGCAGCTTTTGCACTGTGTGTGTGTGTGTGTGTGTGTGTGTGGTTTCAGTATCTACATGAGAACGGCGTTGTGCATCGTGACCTCAAACCAGAGAACCTGCTGTACGCCGACCTGTCACTGGACGCTCCGCTGAAGATCGGTAACAGACCACGTTTGAATAAAACTTTATTGAACAGTCTGGGATCAGGGTAACAACACAGACTCATATTTTACTTTTATTTTAATTTACCAGTTTTTTCATTTTACATTTATTTTTAATCATTTATTTATTTACTTTGATTTTTACTTTTACTTTTAACATTTGTTAGGTATTTGTACTGTTTATGTCCATACAAGCTGAACTTGTGATAATGCTATTTTTGACAGCACTTGAATGTACAACAGGACGGACAGTGAACCATCGCTGGCTGATTGTTTGGTCCGTTTATAAACGGACCAGGAGAAGCCTCAGTGTGTGTCAGCCTCCAGATGGCCGGTGGGCCTCCGGCTAACAGATGGAAGAAGCTTACATTCAGACTCACCACCACCTTCCTTTAGTTCAGAGACTCTCCTGCAGAGAGACACATTCTCCTCCACCTCCACCTTCCACTGCTTTGCCTACTCGTTCCACTTTAAATAGAAACAGGAAACACATCAGTGCAGGAACAGATTTTTATCTCCAAACGTGAACAGTTAAAGAAACTATGAACAATGTTTTCATGTCCTCCTCTCTTACAGCTGACTTTGGTCTTTCCAAAATCATTGATGACCAGGTGACCATGAAGACTGTCTGTGGTACACCGGGGTACTGCGGTGAGTTTATCACCACTACTACGCCGAGACAAAGCTGGACAAACTGTACTACTTTCTGTACTACGAGTACTGGAGGGAGTAGCAGTAGTAGATGGTGTAGTAGCAGTAGTAGATGGTGTAGTTGCAGTTGTAGATGGTGTAGTAGTAGTCGCTGATGTGTTCTATGACCCCTGCGTTAGTGTGATATCCGGTAGTGGGCAGTGATGCGTTTACTGCCCCCACAGCTCTGTGGGATTTCACATAACTCTCAGTTAGAGCTTCTGTCAGCCATCTGGTGGCTAACAGCTCCTCTGCCTGCAGCTCCAGAGATCCTGCGGGGAAATGCCTACGGCCCTGAGGTGGACATGTGGTCAGTGGGCGTCATCCTCTACATCCTGTGAGTCCATTAACACCTCCCTGCAGACACACACACTCACAGTGGACTGACTCACTGCTGTCAGTATGGATGAAGTTTTCTGGACTTCCGTCCATCTCATAAAGCCATTAAAAGCGATGACATAATGAACACTGCTTCCTGTTAATCTGACTTTAATCAGTGTGTTAATGGTGCCTTCAAATGGGGTTGCTGTTGCTTCCCCAGCAGAGTCCACAATGACACATTGCTGCGTTCTCTCTGCTCTGCAGGTGGAAATGTGATATGATTGTGACATTTTAAAGTAGTTTAGTGCTTATTGTTTCAGCATTCATTTCTTGGTTGAAAGCCTTCACTAATTTAAAGAGAGACCTTGTAGCGTTTCCTGTTGTCAGTTTCTGATCCTTACTGTTTGTCATAAGTTAACCCCTTGATTGAACTGGAGCATCTGTTCCCCAGACTCTGTGGGTTCGAGCCCTTCTTCGACCCAAGGGGGGATCAGTACATGTACAGCCGTATCCTCAACTGTGACTACGAGTTTGTGTCACCGTGGTGGGACGAGGTCTCCCTCAATGCCAAGGATTTGGTGAGTTTCACAGACCCTCCTCCATTTTATTTCACGTGATCAATCAATGTGAGAGACTTGGACTCGTTGTAAATGACTCAGACTGGTCACTTGGACTTGGAGATATCTTGAAACTTTGTCTCAAATGACTTTGGTGTCTCATGATACTTGACTTGGATTTATCCTGAAGCACTTGAGACTGACCTTGGACCTGTTTCAAATACCTGGACACTCGACTTGGACTTAACTCAAATAACTTGGATTTATTTGGAAATGAGCAAAGACATTCCTAGTCGACCAGCAGTGGTTAGATAAAGCCAGTAGTCGACTAGTCGTCAAACGTTTCTGATATTCATTTAAATACATGAATCTCTATAGTCTAAGAGCAGCCTGTTAAATGCTAACAGCTGTAATGATTTACAACATTTAGTTCATTTATACAAACATAAACATGTTTAATTCAATTTAATTCAATTCAGTTTTATTTGTATAGCACCAATTCATAACTAAAGTTATCTCAGGACACTTTTCAAACAGAGCAGGTCTAGACAGTACTTAGTGTTACACTAAAACATGGAATACTTTACAGTTACTTAGAAATCTACTTGCTATCAACTCGCTCCTCTCCTGTCCCTGCCTGAACCCGCTGTGTCTAGTCCTGGTCAGATCCACTGTGAATCACCTGTCCTCCGACGGTGTCAGAGGTTGAGTTCGGTCTTGGTGTCGTGGTCAACGGGAGGCAGCTGCTCATTCTGGCCCCGTTTCCCAGCAGACAAACCTCCTAGGTCGAGGATACGACCGCTAACTAGCTCGTAAAGTTAGCATATGCAGTTGTCCCAGTGACAAGACACAGCTCCCCTTTGATGCTGTTTGTTTTTCTGTGAATATCCGATTTATGAAAGGTGTGTCAACTACAACTCTTCCTGTCAGCTGTGTTTTGAAAAACTAGGGCTTGTCTGGGATGACTTGAGACTTGACTTGAATGTTTCAAGACTTAACAGCTTGACACTTGACTTGGACTTGACTCAAATAACTTGAACTCTTGACTTGAACTTGTATCAGGACGTGTCCTGGATGTGTCTGGAATGACTTTATGCTCAACTTGGGCTGATGTTGAATGATTTGGACTTGGACTTGATTGACTTAAGACTGGCACCTTTGTCAAACTGCTTGAAAATTGACTTGGACTTGTTTTAAAAGACTAGGGATTGTCTGGAATGACTTGAAACCTTAAAAAATCTTGTGTCAGATGACATTACTTGCCTAAGCAGTTTAAACTGAACTTGGACCTGATTCATTGTGAGTCCGTCTAAATGTATGAATATGACTAATAACTGCAGCAGCACAGACACAGTCAGTGACTCACTGAAGAATTATTCTGAACATTCACACAATGACACTAAACTGATTCTAAAATACAGCTCTACAGACTTTAGACTTGACTTGAACGTTTCAAGACAACCTGACACTTGAACTAGAACCTGATTAATGACTTGTCAGGAAGGACTCTACCTGGATGTCTTTCATATTGCTCGGATGACTTGGACTTGTGTGGAGGGACCAGCACAGTTAACTGCTAATCAGACTTCTGCTACCTGAAGAGTTCCTTCCCGGACTGGTGAGCTGAGCTCGGTCCTGTCCCTGTTTGTCTGCAGGTCAGTAAACTGATTGTTCTCGACCCTCATAAGCGCCTCAGCGTCCGGGAGGCCCTGCAGCACCCCTGGGTGCTGGGCAAAGCCGCCCGCTTCTCCCACATGGACACCACCCAGAGGAAACTACAGGAGTTCAACGCTCGACGAAAACTAAAGGTGACGACGGCGTCTTAGTGTTGACCACTGAGTGGGTTCACTGACGTGTCCGTAATCATTCCTGAGGAGATCCCTGCCAGTCCTCATTATGTGTAGCTGCACTGTCACAGCCCGGCTGGGGATAAATTTTTTTAAAATGACATTCACAGTGAGAAAAGCAGATTAAAGCCGTGTGTGTGTGTGTGTGTGTGTGTGTGTGGTCTACAGGCCGCCATGAAAGCCGTCGTGGCCACCAGTCGTATGCACGAGGGTTCACGGCGTCGTACCGACAGCTGTGAGATTCCGGGTTCGGGTACTTCCAGGCAGAGCAGCATGCAGCAGGACCCGCCTCCTGAGTCCACAAGCCCCACCCCTGCAGACAAAGAGGCCCCGCCCCCAGATCAGCAGCCGCTGCAGGAAGACGACTCAAACCCTGGCGACCACAGTGCCCTAAACCCCTCCCCTCCACGCAGCCCCAAACCGCCCAGCTCTGATGTCACTCCCACAGGCCCCGCCCCCTCTAGACCGCCGCTGCGAATCGAGGGGCTGCGGCAAGCGTCCGTCGTCCAGAAACACACGCCGGTCCAGCCCCAACTGCCGCAGAAGAGCTACTCCGTGGTAGAGCCCGCCTCCAGGGCTGAGGCCACACCCACTCTGGCCACACCTCCGAGTCCCAACAACCTCAGTAACGGCTTCACGCCGGGGGCGGAGCCTGCCAATAAAACCACCCACTGCCAGTGAGCGGAGACGCTTCAGAAATCACTCAAATAATCTCCTTAGGCTCCGCCTTCCATAAACTGAAATCATTTATTGGGCCCAAATTAGACGAGAAGCACCCGGAGCCAACAACCATCCTCCACTCTGTAGCTCTGCTGTGATGCTAACATGCTAACATGCTAACAGCTGTGTACTCACCGAGGGTTCGCTGTTTGTCCCACATCAGGACGTTCAGCTCGCTTCTGATCAACACAGAAAAGAGCAATCAGTGGCATTGATTGGACGATGACATCCAATCACAGACCTTCTCCTTTACATCTGCTCTTAAAGGATGAGTCCACTTCTCATTGTTGTTCATTCTAACTCACAGAAAGCTACGGGACGAGCTAATGTAGCTAACTGCACAGAGATCTGATCAGTGTCATGTGACCAAGAGTTAGACAGCAGGAAGAGGCGGAGTCAGGTGACCTTTCAACTGTCACCTGTCAGTTTTTACTGATTTTGTTGAGCTTACGTTTGGTCACAAACAGATGATCAGTCTGTAGTTTACTGACACTTTAAAGGAAATTTTCTTTCTTTGGTAGTGTAGCTTAGCATAACACCTGGAAGCGGGGGGAAACAGCTAGCTGTAGGTGTGTGAGACTGATACCTGAACTGAGTATTGATCTGATACAATGATGATGAATATTATTATGATTATTAAACATAGCAGTAACCCTGTATGAGTACTGAAGGCTGCAGCTGGTGAAGGAGGAGTTAACTTTATACTGCTGGGTCACTGAATCAATAATAATAATAATAATAATAATCCTCAGCATTTATTATTGATTTATATTTTCTATTAATAATTTTAAATCTGTAAAAGTAACTAAAGTTATTAAATAAAAGTTGGATATTTAACCTCAAAATGGCTCTATTGATTAGACAATAAGCAGAGAGAACCAGAGGTTCCTGTTAGAAATGATTGGGACTATAAAGGAGGTTTTGGGGTTTTTGAGGATCCTGAATCCATTTCTGACATTTTCTAAATATAAACTGTTTCAAGAGGAAGTGGAAATATTCCCAGTGGCTGATTGTGAGTCAGTCTAAATGTATTAATACCCCCCCCCGTTACTGTTGTATATCAGAGTCCTATACTGGGCTCTGAGGGATGAGATGTGAGCGTCTCGCTGTCCGTTCTGATGTGGGACAAACAGACTGAGGTCTCTTCCTGCTCCGGGACGATGGAGCCGATTGATTGTATTTTATGAAACTTTGGTAAAGCGTCTGCGTGGAGGACAGAATCTCGCTCTGGTGTTTTTCTTCTTCTGCATCCCTTTCAGTTTCCAGAGGAGGACCGGGAGGGTTCTGGTTGCTCTACGAGAGCCTGAAGAGACAATGTGCTTTGAGTTTTTTATCCTTTCTACTCTTTACTGTCGCCTCCCGCTGGCTGTGTGACGAAGCCGTAGGTAGATTGCGCCTGTAGCCTGCAGGTGAGTGCCGTGTTGTGTTCGTGAGCTTCTAGTAAAAACGTGTTTTTCTCAGCAGTGATGATGATCTCCTGTTTGCACTGTACATAGTTTGGTTTCAGGTTCAGTGTTCTGTGCAGCCAACGAATCTTTATGAGAAATTAGAAAATTTATAGAACGGGTCGGTTTTGTTTTATTTTAAAAAAGGAAAACTTATTCCTTCTTTTCCATTTTTATTTTCTAACAATAAAGAGAAAACTGGTCAGTATTTCATTTCCTTTTTAACAGAAAACATAAAGTTATTTCATTTTCAGACAAAAATAACGGAAAACTTTTTTTGAACTTTTATTTTAAACCAGCAACCCGTTGTCTGTCCTTCGCTACAGAGTCCACTGACCTTTTATAGACAGACATTTACTGCTCCACTCCACCAGAGACACAGTCCGTGTTCAGACCCCCCAAAAAATACCAGATTTGACCTTTGACCTTAGTTGAAAATGAAACCCCTTCATCCGATCTGAAACCACACATTCTACCTCTTTTTGTACAGGGGCTTCCAAAACCATAAAAACGTCTCCGGAGAGAAAACAAATGAGCCCAGCAGGCAGAGCTGAGGCCACTCAGAGAGAAACACACAAATCTACGGTGGCTGAGACGGGCCAAATGCAGCAGTTTGAGAAAGCAGAAGCTGGTTCAGTTGGTCTCTGCAACAGGTTGAACGGAATCAGTGGAAGTCAGTGGAGTTCAGTCAGACGGGAAGCTGAAGGTTTATGTCTGCTTCCGTCTGGTGGCGTTAGATCGGTATAAACGCGTCCCACTGGAGGGTTTTGATTGTTCGTTAACTTAACGTGAGTCAGTATTCTCTCTCTGGTCCGTCTCACTGCAGCAGTATGATGGGAATCAGCTGTTTCTGTGATTTAATATCAATAAACAGATCAATATATCAATATAATAACAACATCATGATGGCACCAGAGTCTGTAAGACGACGAGCAAACAACTCTTAAAATGCTTGTTTTCTGAATGGAGTTTGATTGATCAGGGCTACGCTAACTTAGCTCACAGTACAGTAACCGTGGCTCTCAGCAGACGGGTTGAGAAGAGAGACAGTCAGGACTCTGGTTTATATGGGTCCTGGTCTGAGGAGTTATATGGGTCCTGGTCTTCTCAGAGAGCTGTTTGTGTGGTCACAGTGACCGGCTGCTTTGCTTTTTGTCCTGTCTCAGCCACCGTCTGTGAAAGAACCTGGGTTGAGAAGAGGAACACATTCGTCCCTGAAGGGCTTTTACCTTTAAAGAGGAACCAACCTCAACCCTATATGTTACGTAGTTCTGAGGACTGAATGGACATTTAAGTTCACCTTTAAAGGAACCGTGTGAGAGGCTGCCCCACTTCAGTGTCTTTGGTTGTTTACTGACTGTGAACTCATTATGAATTATACAGCCCCCAGTAGTCTGAGACGTCCCCAGGCTGGAAACCCTGAACGAGACACTCAATGTTTTACTCAGCTAACAGACTTTCATGTGTTCTGCTGTATATTGTGGATACCTCGTTTATGGTCTTTTCTTGCGTTCTGAAATGAGAAAATCAAAATGGGGAAACAGCTTTTTCTTTTCAAACAAAAACACAGAAAACAGGTTGTTTCCATTTCCTGTTTTTATTTTCACTGTTATATATATATATTAAATATAATATATATATTTAATATATTTATTATAAATAAATATATGTTAAATATATATAATGATTTATAGCTTCTGCAGTGTCATCTATAACTAATATGAATGAATAATATAAATCAAACCTGCAGAGCATATAGCCCACAGGATATATAAATTGTCAATCAATATATCTATATGTATTATATGTATTATTTATATCATGAAATACAAATGTGTTTTGTTTGTAAAACTTAAAGATTCAAGTTTTTCTAAAAGAAAAAGGAATTATATTATTATTAGTTTTGAGAGTTTGACTGTGGCCAGATTAATGTAGTCTGTTCACTACTTCCACTAGGCTTCATGCAGTCCTGGTCTTCTCCACTCTGGTCTGAACAGGTTCCGGTCTGAACAGGTTCTGGTCTGTGGTTTGGTTCCTCTTTAAACGATCTGCCCATCTCCTGGTGGGCTGACGAGTCCCGGTGTTACCTGTCCACAGGTGTTAGTTGCCAAATGGATCACTGAATATCTATCTGTCATGGTAAAAGCATGCACTCTGTATATTTGGTTCACTCTATACTCTTATGTACAAACATGAATATTTTCTTCTATTTATCTTCTGAGGGACCTCGTTGGAGGTGGGCGGGGCTAAACTGTAAATGGTGTTTGTTTTGTGTTTGCTGAGTGAACTCCGATACACGTGTATCTCTGCATGTATTATTTCATTTCTGTTGATCATATCAGATTAAAGAACCAGAATCCTGCAGCTGATCTGGGTTCAGTCTCATTGAATTGAATGTGCAGTGAAGGACACACAGATATCTCACTGATATTATATATTATATAATATTCTATTGATCAGTATCAATAACAGCAGAGAACAGCTGATCAATGAACCCAAACAGTGAACTCAATCACTGCAGGAAGTTTGATTATTTCCTGTGAATATTGATCAGAGATTAGTTTTCCTGATATATTGATACATTATCTGTATTCTGTATTTTTATCATTTTAACAGTCAGACTTAATACTCTTCTTTCTGACAGATTCACTGTTTATTGATCTATCAGCTGTTTGCTTTCTGATGCAGGACGAGACTGTTGATCAGACTGAAGCTCTGTCACGGTACACTGTGATCAATAATAATAATAATAATAATATATACTGTGTTCAATAATAATAATATAATAATATACACTACTTCATTCAGTTTTATTCACAGAAATGAATGAAATAAAACAAAGTTGTTTTACAGCCCTAAAAATCAAGAAGTCCTCACAACCAGTGTTGGAGTGTAACTTATTACTAGTATTAATGTTACAGTAATAATATTACTTTCCCCAGTAACTATTCAATTCAATTCAATTCAATTCAATTCAATTTTATTTGTATAGCGCCAATTCATAACAGAAGTTATCTCAGGACACTTTTCAAATAGAGCAGGTCTAGACCGAACTCTTTATAACATTAATTACAGAGACCCAACAGTACCACCATGAGCAAGACCTTGGAGACAAGGGCAAGGAAAAACTGCCCGTTAAAAGGCAGAAACCTAGGACAGATCCTCCGGCTCTAGGTGGGTGGTCGTCTGTCTCGACCAGTTGGGGTGAGAGAGAGAGAGAGAGAGAGAGAGAGGCAGAGAGAGAGAGAGCGACTACTAGTAGTGTAACTAATTATTAATACAATTTGGGTAATAATTATAATGTTTATTTCCTCATCCAGCAGTTACAAAGCAACATGATCGTTCATTTAGAGAGTCAATAATTACTTGTGGGGTTCCTCAGGGTTCTATTCTTGGTTCTTTATAGTTCTAATTAAAACTCTTTTTAAATTGTGTTTTTGTCCAACTGATTTCAGCAGGAAACATCTGATAAATCATCATCCTATTGTGGTTACCTTGCTAGAATACATACACACCAGCAGTTACGGAGCAACATGATCGTTCATTGGCAGCCGTGTTTGTGTCACCTGAAAAAAAGTCCAATATTCTCTCTGTTTCTGCTCTCTGGAAATATCTGTCTCTTTCGCTATGTTCACCAGGTAGTCTCTAATTACATCAACACATCGTCAGTTCTTAAGTTGTTAGTATAATATTCATGAACATGTTCATAAAGACTGAAGACCCCCCCAGCTGTAAAACTCACATAATAAATGAGACATATTTGAATGAACCAGCAAGAAGCTGTATGTTTGTGTCTAGGCTGGGAGTCGAACCTGTGACCTCTGAATCACAGTCTGTCCCTCTAGCAGACTTTCTGTCTGTAAACTTGGCACTCGTGGATCGTCCCACACCAGTATGTGGATCTGGACCTCCAGTCTGCTGCCGGGACCTCCCACATCAAGGTGGCGCTGTAGGCTCCGCCCTCCTCTGACCTCATCCACGATACCGCCATGTCCGATGATGTCACCAGCGTGTCATCGACCCACCACAGGACATCCTGAAGAGGCGAGTTTAATCCAGTGAGGAGGCAGACCAGCAGGTGAGGAGATTGTGGATCCTGAGAGAGCGGGAGGGACGATAAAATCTTGACAGATGGACCAGAACCTGCAGACAGCATGGACAAAATAATACCAGTAATTTTTTTTAAAGTATTTTTTGGGGCTTTTATTGCCTTTATTTGATGGGACAGCTGGGGGCGGGCGGGGCAGAGGGAGGGGGGATGACATGCAGCAAAGGGCTGCAGGTCGGATTCAGACCCTGGGCCGGTGCAGGGACTGAGCCTTGGTACATGGGTCGCCAGCTCTACCCACTGAGCTATCCGGGCACCCCAATAATACCAGTAATCTTTATGTATAATATATTATATACTTTACTTTTACTTTACTTTATATACTTTTACTTTTCAAATTTACAAAGTGATTATCAGCAGGCAGGACATTAAACAACAGTAAATTATAAAATCATTAGTTGTTGTAAAATAGGGAAATAAATGAATTATTTATTTCTATACAATTTAATATTTAAGAATATAATTGAACCAGCTTTGTGGTATTCTGCTGGAAACTTTTACTAATTAGCATTAATCACTACTGAACTATCTGGATATGTTCCAAAATAAAACGGGATGTGTTTTGGTGAATTCTCTGTGATACATACGATTATCTGTTGTCTTCCACAGGCATAATATTGTTCTTTTGCAGATGATATGTAACTGTATATCCAGATAAAACCTGGTATTTCATTATCTTTTGCCCTGCTGGATAACGTTTCACAGTCAGAAAGTGATAGGAAGTGGGCTTTTCATCAGAACCCCTGCATGAAGAGACGTTTGTTGTAGGAAAGTTATAAAACTACAAAGAGATGCAAAACAACCGCAAAAAGACACAAAACTTCTACAAAGACACCAACACTGACTGGGAAGGTGACACATCTGATTTGGGCTGGAAGAAGAAGACTACCTGTTGTCTTGTTTCGATGATGATGAAGATTATCTCCATCACAATCAGTTAGTTCTTCACCAACGTTCACCAGCAGCCGAGTTCCACTGCTGAAGACCATCGAGAAAGAGACAGTCTGTCCTCTGGGCAGAGACCACGCAGACCACCATCTACAGCAGCAGAAACATATTCATAATAACATTAATAATAATAGAAACTGTAAATACTCGTCAGTAATCAGACCAACTGTGAACCCATCATAACGTCCCCCATCGGATTGTGGAGAATCGTTTTTAAGCCTTGAATTCAGCGTTTTGGCCTCCGCCATGACAGTAAAACGCAGCCAGCAGAGGTCACGTACAGCGAGTTGAGCTGCTCTCATTGGCTGCTCTTGGTTTAGAAACAAGATCTGGTATTCCAGATAAACAGTAAAATGTGTTTGTGAACAGATTTGAGGAGAGAAACAGTCAACAACAGAATCTGGATCCATATCTGATCAGCACTGTTTGACAGTTTGATCTGAGTTTGATTGAGCTGGACGGACTCACTGAGAATGAGCTGTCAATCACAAGGTAGCCCCGCCCTAAAGCATACCCTGCTTTATGGTCTGTTTTACTGTAAATGGGACCATCAGTTACTAAATGAACATCATGCTGTATGGAAGAAGACTGAAACTAGAGACTGAGACCAGAAACTCATCAGGAAACTGTTCACTGAGCTCATTCTCCATTAGAGTGAATGGGATCAGTTTATATTGCAGCCAGTGGAGCTCCCCCTGCTGGTCGTCACACAGAATGCAGCTTTAACACACATATACTGTCATTATATATACATTCATTATATATACATTCATTATATATACATTCATTATATAAACTGTCATTATATATAGAGTCATTATATATACATTCATGTAATATACAGTCATTATATATACTGTCATTATATATACATTCATTATACACAGTCAGTGGTTCAGACTAACCGCAGGAGGAAGATGAAGGTCAGCGCTGTGTCCATCCTCAACTCACTCTTCTTTCCTCTCCAGATGTCAGCACACAGCATCAGCCTGAAGTCACTGATCAATTATAGGCTACTGCTAATAAATAATAATAAAAATGTATAGAATGAAATAAATATAATAATAAATACTGATAAGGATGTTAAAAATATTATTAAAGGCTCACTGTAGTTTAAATGATCATATCAATAATCAATACGGTATCTCCTATAGTGATGGTGTTATCTTGATTAAAGTCCTCATAATTATGTTTTTTACATTCAATTAAAGTACTTTTAACTTTGATTTTTAACATTTAATAAAGTCTATATTTATATTGGTTAAGCATTAAATAAAACCCTAACCCATATAATGTAGATTTTCTTACTTTAAATTAAAGTGTCATTGAATGTGTTTTTATCTTAATTCAAGGTTTTTACTTGCTTTTATTCACTTTTTAACCCTAATTTAAATTCCTCAGTGTTTCCACTCAATTTATGTTTTTATCTTATCAATAATGTTTTTATCTTATCAATAATGTTTTTATCTTATCAATAATGTTTGACTGGAACAAAGTGAAACTGTGAATGAACACTTCAGAGGTTGCTCTGTGACGTGCTACGGTAAGCGTACAGAGTCATTCCCGGTTTACTTCCTGCTCTGTGTACACTGTTTGGTGCTGTAGCTCTGTCAGTGGACGCTAAATATACATTAGTTTTACTCATTACAGCGGTTATTTACCAGCTTAACATTTAAACGTAGACTAGTTCTACTTAAACACTCTGAGTTTCTCCTTCTTTTAGGGACTTTTCACTACTTTCAAAGTTTTTCATACACTCTAGTTTCATTAGCATTAGCAGTTAGCTATGGCTTCTCCCTCTCCCTCTCCTCTGTCCTGCTCAGTGTGTCAGATGTTCAGTTATTCCTCTGCCTCCTTTAATGATAATGGTACCTGTATTAAATGTAGTTTATTTGTTTATTTTTTACTGCGCTGGAGGCGGGGCTTAGTGAGTTAGAGGAACGGTACCGCACCACGGAGATATCTTTAGCCGCTATAGTTAGCCAGCCCCCGGTAGCCGGTTTTGGGGAAAATCTGGTCTGATTAGGAGAGACGGCATCCATCCCACTTTGGATGGAGCGGCTCTCTTATCTAGAAATATGGCGAAGTTTATTTCTAAAACCTGACAGTCCAGAGTTAGGACCAGGAAGCAGAGCTGCTGTCTTACACACTTCTCTGCTCTTTCTTTAGAACAGTCACCCACCCAAAACCCCATAGAGACTGTGTCTGTTAGTGATGGGTCGGTCGCGAACGATCCGGCTCTAAGAGCCGGCTCTTTGAAGTGAACGACGGGAGCCGGGTCCTGATTGGGAGCCAGATCCGAATTTTTTTTCT